CTTTTATCATATAAGCTAGCTTTTCAGCTATAAGTCATAAGCTATAAGCTATAAGCTCTAAAATTACTAATAAGCTATAAGCTAGCTTATCAGCTAGTTTTACCAAAAATAACCAGAGAAGGAATTCAAATTTTAGAAGAAATGTATGAACTCAGAATTTTTTGACAAAGTTTTTAATAACCTTGAAAATAGCATGAAATTACCCTTAAGGTGTGATAAATATGTTGAATTAAAAAGATTAGAAATAATCTTTTAACATCTATTAAACTAGATATTTTAAAAAAACTAAAAATTTTAGAAAATGGTATTCAAAGACAGACTATCAGAAATACATAAATTCTATCAAACTAGGTATGAATTATTAGCTAAAATAATCAATGATTTTAAAATGACAATAACTCCATAACACGTGTTTCTATTTAAGAAATTGAAACCACTTATAGGGCTGTGTTGTAAAACACATGCAAGAGAGAGAGAGAGAGAGAGAGAGAAGAAAAAAAGAAAAAAAAATCAAGGAGACATTTGGAACATTTAGGAATTTGTAAATTCAAGAATAATAGCTATTATAATTAGTCTAAATCATGGTGTATTCATGGCACCACAATTCTGACCAACCTTGGCAAGAGTTTTCTCTGACTCTGATTCTCTTCCCAAAAGGGAAAATCTCTTGTAGATTTGCACATTTTGCAGCTATCATCTTGATCGCCCACCTCCTATCGGTGAGACATCATTTAGAGGTGCTCATAATATTATGTGATTATAACATGAACATATGTATAGTATACTTAGCATAGGTTAAAAATAGTGCATAATTATTGCTAGTAACAAATAGTGCATAGTTATTTTATTTTAACATGAGCAGGTAAAACACATCTTATCTGAATACATCAAGAAAGAACGGAATCAAGTTAAAGTGGCAAAGTAAACCAAGTGTTAGAAGATAAGTAGACAATCAATTGCTACCTGTGGCTCCAAGCACGTTCGCTTCTTGGTGAAAAGGATAGAATTAAAGTTGATAAGAGTAGTTCATCCATAAACATTGGAAGTAGTTGCTTCTTCGACACGATAATCTTGCTACAAAGGAAAAGAACATACCAACAACATTGCTAAGTTGCAGATTGATAGGAAGTAGTTGAGAACAAATACAACATCGAAACTCTTTTATTGAAAACTAAGCCCCCAAGGAAGGAGCGTGGATAGAATTTACATGAAAAAGTGAGATGTTACCTTTATTTCAGTTATTGCATATGCTAAAGACATTTCAAAACTAAGCAGCACCCACAATGATCAGATAACCCTTATACACCACAAACAAGAGGACAAACAAGAGGAGGAAATGTTCCATCAAACTAGTCTATGCTATCCCTGTCCTTGTCTATTTTATTATGATGAGATTCAATAATTAAGTGGAGAAAAAATATATCCGGTCAGGTTTAACAAAAGATAATAGCTTCAAAACTATACCAATTACATTTACAAGTAATCTACAGAAAAGCAAGACTGGCTCTGATACCAAACTGTAACGCCCCGTTTTATTTTAAAGAATTTACTGAATTTATTTAATAAAAATCTGACTTATTTTTTTTTTTTAAATCCAAGTTAAAACATTTATCGAGAAACGGGCGCTACTTACTAACCACAACAAATAAACACACCCAATCAATCAATTCAATGAACCTACACATGCTCAAGCTATCAAAATAACAATCTCAATAATCATAAATTTCAAAATCATTCCCAAACGACTAGCATGAAATCAAGGTTCAAACGAAATTCAACATAGTTCAAAAATGACGAAATAAATAATCCAAAGTACGATAGCAAATAAATAAATAACAAGTTCATGCGGAAGCATAAGATTTCAACACATAATGACCACCATCTCGCTCGTCCTACGCCACCGCCTCCACCTCGTCTCAATCTAAGAACAAAGGAAGAGAGAAGACAACAAAGAAAATAATGGGGGCGAGCAACCAACAAGCTCACCATTATCGCACGGTTATCTCGTATAATTATTTTTAAAAGCAGTACCACGGTAAAACAATATCAGTATCGGTATGCACAAAATTCATAGCCTAAACCCCTTACCCAACCCTATCGCAAACCTCCTATGTACATACAACAACCTTCCGGATACAACGACATGGTTGTAACTAGAAACCTTCCCACCCTCGGGTACAACGGTTCGTAGGATCCTTTCCAGGAGACAACAGAGATGTTTTTCCCCTTCCGAATACGACGGCATGGGGCGTCCTCCTAGATACGACGGGCAGGCGACCTCTTACTGCTTTCGCATTCATCAAGGCACTAGCGTTCGAGACACTTAGACTAGAGTTCTCATGCATACAAAAATTTTCAAAGAAATATTACACGAAATAATAAGTGCAATAAATATGGAATACATCATAAATGTACCCACCTGATAGCAGCAACAGCTTCAAAGTCACAAATCTCGAAATGGGGCGAGGTCAACACCTCTAGACACCTACATTATGTCAAGATCCTACAATCAATATCCATCTTGACTTAAATCGGAAATCACAAAACAGATCTAGTCGAACTTGTTTCGACTAAGTAGTTCGTGAAGTCCTGTGGATGTTGGAACACTAAGACTCGGCACTAAACACGACCAAACCACATAAGGGAGTTCACATAAATCCATCCAAGGATTGACCAAGTCAAACTTACATCAAAACGAAAAGCAAGTCGATTCCCAACTTTCATTTCAAAATCATGTTTCGAAAATAGCAATCATTAATCACATGAAAATAGATGGTCAAGCTACCCTACGACTTAAGCTCTGAAATTTTACAAAAAATTACATCTCCCAGAAACATGAAATACCACAAATTTCCAGCTTCAAACTCGAAATGCACTATTTTATAAAATTCGAACAAGATATCAACAGAATGGGAGCATCAATTCATACTTGAACTTAATGAACGAATCAGAACTTGTAAATTTAACACAACAACATACAGAATGCTTAAGTCCATGTATAAGAATCTCAGCCCTGAATATTGACTGCTACTATTTTTAAAAAATTCATACGAGATTCAGCAGTTTATCGAATTTTAATAAAACCGAATCAAAATGGACTCAAAAAATTCCCATCTTTTAAAAGCATGATTCAACACATAAAATAGGCATCTCAGTAAAATTTTAGAATTTTTCACGAAATAACCAATTTATAAAAATTCAAACAATGCTCAGCAGATTCGATAAATAAATTATTAACCACATCAAATCAAGTCCAAAAATTCTAAAACTTTAACACAACATATAAAAGTCACAAGGCATGACATATTCGAATTTCAGCTCATTTGGTTCACGAATGAATTTATTATGCAATTAACACTATTCTGATCAGATTTCATTATAATTATTAAAAATAGCTACAGGTTTCTAAAAATCACGAAAATTTTACATAAAGCTGGTAATGAACAGACAGCATCACCCTCAAACTTTCAAATCGTTTCGAGCAGCGAGCTATTTTTAAAAATTCAAACACCAAAACAGCGATATATATGCTCGACATCTTATCAATTAATTCGTAACATGAAATTTCTCGTCCGAGGCCTTCCCATAAGGCCAAGGACTCGACATCGTTCCAATATCCACTGACTTACACGATTTTCGAGGTCTCGTTCAATTTCTCATAATTGAAGAGATCCCGAACAACATAAACGACACATAAAATCATATCTTTCACACAAATTTCGTATCGTATATATATTGAATTGCAAAGAGCACATTACGACAATAAAGCACATATCGACATTCAATATATACGATTTAATGAGACGGGGTTCGACTAGGTACCGTTCTCGGGAAAAACTCGAAAAAATGGAACGTAGTACACGAACGGGGCTCGACGGATTCTTGCGTCTCGCCGGAAGGAGATGCTGCAGCGGTTGCGAGAGGGTGCAGCAGGGTCACCGGAGGAGCTCGCGGTGGCGCTGTGGTGGCTCACGGCTGAGGAGGAGCTGGTTGTCGGAAAATCGCGTTCGGAAGTGGTCACGTCGTCGGGGCTCGCGGGCTGTTAGAAGGACGAACAGAAATCGCCGGAACGTTGCAGACGGAGGAAGGAGGCGGTGTCGGATGGCTGCTATGCGGACGTCGGAGGTGCAGCGATCCACCAGGGAGAGGGCGTTGCAGGCGGAGGAGGGCGCTGCTGCACGGATAGATTCTCTGCGATGGTGATGACGGCTGAGAAATGATGGAAGGAGGACGATGGTGGTCGCTGGTGAGAGGGCGACGGGAAAAACAGAGATCACGAGAGGGGGAGATGGTGAGATCGGCGATGATGAGATGGTGATCGTACAGGGAAGACAAGAACCGAAAGAAAAAGAGAAGGGAGATGGAGACGATGATGGTCGTGATCTGTAGGCGAGGAAAAGAAAGAAAAAAAAAAGATCGATCCCAGAAAGGCTGCGTGAATGCGTTTGAGAGGAGAAACCGAGCAAGGGAAAAATATATATACGTAACATTAGGTTTAAAAAAATTCTTGATGCCCAAGACATCCCATACACCCATCTCACGTGCAAAAGAGGGAAGGGCCGAGTCAGACGGGCCGGTTCGGGCGCGGGTCAGCCGGGTTCGAGAAATTTGGGCCGAGGGTTCGGTTCGTGACAATTAAATCGGCTCATGGGCCGGTTCGCAAAAATAAATCGGCTCACGGGCTCGATTTCAGTTCAAACGAATATTCTCGAGCTCGATTACGATTCACGCGAATATTCTCGGGCTCGATTACGACTCACGCGAATATTCTCGAGCCCAACTTCGATTCAAACGCACGATAAATAAACAAAACTCCGGACAATATAAATTAAATACATACATTGTTTTTAAAATACTAATATTATTAATCAAAATATACAATTAGCAATTAGACATATAATATTTAGACTTTCAAATTTACAAGCAATAATTTATAATACCACAATAATAATAATATCAATAATAATAATAATAATAATACTAAATAATCATAAATAATTCTCAAATAAACCACAATTAAATGGGGCATTACATTTCTAGTTTTTATTTTCTTTCTTTTCATGTTTAAAAAAAAAAAGAACATTGACTAGTCATTTAAATGAAGATTCCATATGATCAAGCTCTACAAAGTGAACAAGTTCCAATTGCAGTATCCAATTTAACGTGATGCCGATGCCGATTTTCCATGAATTGACTAGTTTTCTGGACAACCTTGTTTAGGGAAGTCTTCACACTCCGCCACAAGTTTTAGTTGGAGAAAATTGCATATGGATAGGGCTACTTTGGGCTGAGACAGTACACATCCACTACAATGGATGAAGCTACTATTTGTTCTAATCCGTCTCATCTGTTAAGCCGTTTGGAAGATATTTTGGATTCCGACCCTAAACTGTGAGTAATTGAGTAGAGTTACTCATCATATTCTTTATTCTAATCTTTACCTATGCTCTAGCTAGTTCAGTGATGATATAATGATTTTTGAATCCTTCCGATTGGCCAAATAGTGGGGGAATTACCACTTCTTTGTTCAGTCGTGCAAAGTTTTGGAGGTAAACACATTTTAGATCGTCATGGTGTATTAACGGGTTTGTATAGTGCAATATTCATTATCAATAATGCTGAATTTGAGTTCTTTCTTCTGTGTATTATGTTAAATTCTTAAAATTAATTTTGGATTCTGTTTGTTCATAACTTATAATGCTTTATCCTTTTGTCACTTATTGCATCCAGTGATGAAGTGGGCTTTATTCATCCAATACAGTTTACTGCATTCGCTGCACTCACTGAAGAGGCAAATAGTTCTTCATCTTCTGGAACTAAGCCTCAACCAGATGATGGTCGTTCTGAATTTTTTTGGCATCACGAACATAAGCTTGGCATCTGCACCTTTGTCCTTGTTCCTCTGTATCGTGCGGCTAGAGATGCATTTATGGATGCTTATAACCGATATGTAATCTCGTGCGACTCTCTAGCAAAAACAGGTGATGAACTAGATGGAAATGCGTTGTTCGTGGACATTATGGAAAAGAAAGTTATGAAGCATAGCAAAACACTTCTTTTATTAAGCTGTGATTTTGGCACTGCTTGGAATTCCAGGTAGCTTTTTTCTTTTTATGACGTATGTCTACTTGTGTTTGTTCCACACAATTATATTTTATATCTCTGGTGCTATGGATATTGAGCGATTAAGAGCTATTATCATTCCAATTTTCGTTACAAAGTAATTTGGAGTATTGGCATTAAATGAAACTTCTAATTAGTAATTAGCCTGAAAAGGGTATAAGAAAAGAAAAGGAAAAACTTAGTTCCATGACAAAACCACTGATATCTGGATTACCTTTAAATGTAATTGGTATAGTTTTGAAACTATTATGTTTTGTTAAACCTGACATGGATATATTTTTTCTCCATTTAATTATTGAATCTCATCATATTAAAACAGACAGGGATAGCATAGACTAGTTTGATGGAACATTTCCTCCTCTTATTTGTGGTGTATATGGGTTATCTGATCATTGTGGGTGCTGCTTAGTTTTGAAACGTCTTTAGCATATGCAATAACTGAAATAAAGGTAACATCTCACTTCTTCATGTAAATTCTATCCATGCTCCTTCCTTGGGGGCTTAGTTTTCAATAAAAGAGTTTCGATGTATTTGTTCTCAACTATTTGCTATCTGTATGCAACTTAGCAATGCTGTTGGTATGTTCTTTTCCTTTGTAGGAAGATTATTGTGTCGAAGAAGCAACTACTTCCGATGTTTATGGATGAACTACTCTTATCATCTTTAATTCTATCCTTTTCACCTAAAAGCGAACGCGCTTGGAGCCACAGGTAGCAATTGATTGTCTACTTATCTTCTAACACTTGTTTGCCAGTTTAACTAGATTCCGTTCTTTCTTGATGTATTCAGATAAGATGTGCTTTACCTGCTCATGTTAAAATACAATAACTATGCACTATTTATTACTAGCAATAATTATGTACTATTTTTAACATATGCTAAGTATACATATGTTCATGTTATAATCACATAATATTCTGACCACCTCTAAATGATGTCTCACTGATAGGAGGTGGGCGATCAAGATGATAGCTGCAAAATGTGCAAATCTACAAGAGATTTTGGGAAGAGAATCAGAGTTAGTGAAAACTCTTGCTGAGGTTGGTCATATTTGTGGTGCCATGAATACACTATGATTTAGACTAATTATAATAGCTATTTATTCTTGAATTTACAAATTCCTAAGTGTTTCAAATGTCTCCTGATTTTTTTTTCTGTTTTTCTTCTTCTCCTCTCTCTCTCTCTCTCTCTTGCATGTGTTTTACAACACACCCCTATAAGTGGTTTCAGTTTCTTAAATAGAAACACGTGTTATGGAGCTATTGTCATTTTAAAATCATTGATTTTTTTTTTTTCCTTTTAAACTAAATCTCTAGGGTATTATTAGTAACTATACCTTATTGAAATTTATATCTATGCATCTTCCATTGAAAGTTTCTATATAAGTCAATGTTATTGTTGGCGGATAGCAGTAAGTGGCGGTAGTCCAAAATCCCACCATAGCGGCCGTTGTGGCGCCGCCATAATGGCATAACTACCATCCTTCAAAAGTATAGCATGACAGTTTGTTGAAAATCTGCTTAGCCATACCTGCCATGGCCGCCATTTGATAACACTGATGTTTTATTATACATTTTTTTTCTTCTTAAGTTACTTGAATTGATATTTTTATTTGACGACGTTAATGAACAATTTACTTCAGATATATGGTGAAGGAATTTCGTAGGCGATAGGATTAAAGCTACATGTTTATCTAGGTTTACTCTGACATGTGTGCCTGTGCAATTTGATGTGGATAATTCTGCCAATTACTACTCTGTTCTATCTCCTAATATAGTCGATTAGTTGTAGCATGACACATTTTAAGATTTTCAGCATATTAGCTAGTGATTCAACTACCTCCTAAGTTTGAGTCTTTCGCTTGGGTCCAAGAAGTTCAATGTTGTATAAACCATTTCAATTTGTGTCCTCTGTTTTGGGCCAAATCGACCTCGGATCAAGATTAGATTATTTCTCCTCCCCTCAATCTCCGCATGCAATGTTTGAGAGTTTTGACCCATTATTCTTTGTTAAAACTGTCTATCCTTTTAGAATTCTTTCTGGGTTGCTGCTACTTTATCTAATTTTGGAAGCATACATGGCTTACATCTTGGTTTGCAATGTTCTGCCGTGGTGTTTTTGAACCTGAACATTGGTAATCCTTGTTTCTGCTTTGTCGCAGAAATCTAAAATGAATTATCGTGCTTGGAATCACCGCTGCTGGATGGTTTCCTACATGTCAAATTCTCAGGTCAGGTTAAAGTTGGGCCAGGGGCCTGTACTAATGTTTTCTTATCTGTCAATCCATGTATTATTTTGTTAACCTATTTATGTTTTGTTTTAAGAGAATAGTTCATTTTTCTCTTCCTCAATCTTGTTACCCACCTATTTCTCCTATTTATTCCATTTACCATGTGTGTGTGTATGTTTACGTCATTGGTACTCTCAATGTGTTTTTCTATTTTTATTTTGATTGTTTTTGCTGATATATATTTTTTGGCTTCAAATCAGGTGCTACTTGAGTTGAAGGGTTCAAGAGATTGGGCTGAGCTTCACGTTGCTGATAACTCTTGCTTTCATTACCGAGCTGTAAGTTTTGAACTTGTTGTATGCTGTTGCCTACCATTCTGAATAAACCTTCATCAGAAGAGTCAAGCTCTATAATTGTCATGACCATTAGGTGTTGGTTTCAAATATATTGCACATATTTGGTGTGTGTGTGTGTGTGTGTGTGAAGAGGAGGGGGTGGGGATATGTAGCCCTTTCAAAAAGTGAAAATCAATGAAATTCACAATTAGGTTTACTACAGGCTACAACAAACAATAGTTTAGGAAATTACATGAACTAAATAATTTCTGAATTATCTCCTAGAAAATGAACTTTTAAAGAAGTGACTAATTTTGAAAGTGCGTCTACAAGAGTTCAAGTACTACATATACTTATGGGGCCAATAGATCTTTTGTGGCTAAGAGTTTCCTTAGTTGCTTGGGTATGATCAAGGCTTCAACAATGTGTTCTGGCATCTCCTTTGTTGAAACGTGAATAGAAATATGATATTAAAATTTATGTTATTTCCTGATAGTATTTTCAATATTATAAGTGTAACTATTGAGATGGCATGTACAAACAGAACTAATAATATTGTCTGGAATGTCAGCGCTTATTACTCAAGATGGTAGAGAATTTACAGCTGCACAAAGATGGCTTGTTGGGGGCAGAATTTCATAAAACATGGAAGGTTTGGTCCATAAATTTTTGGAATAACATTAGCTTCCAAATTTTGTTCCCGTATGTGTCATGAAATTAAGCACACTGCCTACCAATATTCTATTTCCTATCAGGAATAAGATGCGCAGCCTAGATGATTTTGGCAAGTGGTTGAGTAATTTCTTTCTTTTATCTATCGAAGAGCGCAATTTTTGTATGTTACTTCATGTGCTTCTATTTATCTCATGAATTTGAAATAGCTTTAATAGTGTAGCTCATGAATTTCAAGGTTTGTTAGAGCATTTACAAGCTCTACCTTGTATAATGGAAAAAATAAACTCTCGGAGAGACATGAAGTTCATTGATTCGTGATATCCTTTATTTGGCCTAAACTTCAAGCTGTGCATCTGTTTATGTTGTGATTTTTTTAACCTGATTTCGCTAAAATCGGGCAATGAAAGCACTACAGGATGAGCTCGACTGGATTGGCATGTTGATAAGGCGCTATCTGGGAAGAGAGGTACTTCAGTCACTGCAGCACTTCTAGTATATACTTGTGTTTAGATTTGAGAATTCAAATACCTTGTGTTCATATGCTTTAGGGATAAATGCAAAACCTACACTCATCGTGTGGTCTCATTAATTATTACACACACACACACACAAAAAAAAAAAAAAAATGTTTCCCTTTTGTAATTGCATGCATTTAGAGGATGTAGTTCAAGGGTGTGTTTTACTAATGCTAAATAATATTATTGGACCTTTTCATTGTACACAACTGATTTTTTTTTTTGTTGTAATTTAGCCCATGGTTTATTTACGCAATAAGCTAAGAATTCGTTTTTTCTTCTCTTTTCTCTTCCACTGTGTACTTGTTTCAAGGCTTTATGGCTCCACCGTCGCTTTCTTTCTCTGGTCTGGGTGAAACAACATATAGTGTTCAACGACGATAATCAAAGAAATATTGACTCCAATTCTCGCTGCACAAGTTGCGACATTAATGTGTTCATTAAAGATGAATTGATGCTACTTGATTCGTGCATAAATTTCCCTGATGAAGAAGATTATTTCGGGGATTATCGAGCACAGGCGATCCATGCTGCCACTTACATAATGTGGCTTCCAAAGGTAGATAAAATTTTCTTTAGTGATCCTGTCTGATAAAAGTTGTCTCCGTTGGTGCAGTTTTATAACAAACTGTTACTGTTTGTTTAGCAAATGCCCATGTGTTTTGGTGCTGAGCTTCGAGGAGGTTCCAAGTACGAGGGTTATATCAGACGTTTGCTCGAGGATGCTGGAAAGAGCAGCCTTTTGGAATCTCTCTACGGACTTCATGAAGACTGCCTCAACATTTGAGGCGGTCCATACGGATCCTTACATAGAGAACGGGCCAGCGGGCTGTAGCATGTAGCAATCTATCCCCCTTGTATATAATTCTTGAATATGCTGAGCCTAAGTGGTAGACTCGCATACTTCGTGTAATGTCATGTTCGTTTATTGATTTTTTCGGAGATTTTTGGCATTAGTAGTATTATTATTATTATTTATTTTATTTAATTGCCAAAGTGATAATTGTTTGATAATAAATTTATTATTGTGTGCAAAATAAATATATATTGCCGGACTAATTATTTTAATTTGTCTGGATGTTGTATTTATTTTCCGAGGCCTTCGGCCCGAACCCGGCAAAACCCGCGCACACCCCAAGAACCGACCCACGACCCGACCCTCTCTTGGCTTGGAGAGCAAGATTATTCCTAAGTCTTTGAACTGTAAACCCTTCTCTATTTCTTTTTCACGACGCCGCTCTCAAAAACTCTCATCTCTCTCGCACAAGAAACAGAAGAGAAAAATCTCGTTGCTCACCTTCATCGCGCAAGAAAAATCTCAGATCCCTCATCTCTCTCGTAAACTCTCCCCTCTCAATCTCTCGCTCGATCTCTCTCGTCACTCTCATTGTATAAAAAAAAAAGAGAAGCAGCCCGCCTTCCATCGCCGCACAGCACTCGAGCAGTCCCGGCGAGCCTCCCCATCACGCGTCCTCCGTTCGCTGCCCCTCGCGATCAACTTCCAGTGTCGGGTAGTCCTAGCGAGCTTCCCTTTGCACGCACTCGAGCCGAGAACCGCACACCAGCAGCCCGTTTTCGTCGTCCCTCGACCTTCTCGTGTATTTTTCGTGAGAACGGTACACGATAGTAGACACTCTTCGTTTTCATGCTATATTTTGTGTGATGTTATGAGCTCATGATTAATTTCTTATTAGGGATTTATATATATATATAATTTGTAATGTGAAGTTTCATGTGGTTTGATGTTGAAGTCTTATTCAAGCATGTTAAATGTGAAACTCTCATATGTTTATGTGTGCAATAATGAGGCTACAGGGTGCTTATGATGTTGTTTAATGTTTTAATCGAGTGCTTATGGCATAGGGATTATATTGATAAAGTTACATTGACATTTGCTTCGTAAATCGTGATTTTACTGCCTCTGTTGTACCTCTGTTTTAGCCCTCAAGAACTCGTTTTATGAAGATTTTTTATCTTCATATGAATTGTAGCTTATCCTGTTATCTTTCAGTGGGTTTGGGAATTTTGAAAATCCGATTTAAATTGAGTGAGATATGATTTTTACAAAATAATCGCGCAAGCAGTTTTCAGTAAAACCCAGCAGTATGTATATATTGTATGTCTGGCATGTTTTCGATGTCTGTATGTGCTCAAACTGAAAAGTGGTCTTCATGAAAACTCTAGCCTTACTTCTTGGCCGTCTATTGGTTTTTGAATCATGTCATTTGAAGGTCTATAGCATGAATTAGATGATAATTACTGTGGTGCTGTTTGTAACATGAGTTGGTTTCTGACAGTTTTTATGAACCGAATATTTTATGTTTAAACTCCATGATAATATCGTTATTTGTCAATGTGGTCTTCAACAAAGTTGTAGATAATCGAGTTAGCTGTCTAGTGGTTCTTGAATCTCATTAAAAGCATGTCTGTAGCTTCATTTATTCTGCAATTACTGAAGTCCTGTCAGCTGTATGATTTCAATTGTGGACTGCAACTCTGTTATAAATGTTTGATGATTTATCCCCTAGTAGATGACCATATCTGTTATCTATGTCTTCATAAGAGTTGTGGAGGTATGTCTTAGGATTCATATGCAACTGGAATCATGTTTATATGACTTATGTGCTGTAAGTTGTGTTTATTTCAAAATCGCTGCGCGGGTTTAGATTTGAAAAACTTATGTTGTGCTTTCGAAAATAAAATTTACTTTTTAAATGCATGCTTATATGACTTATATGAGCTGAGTTGAACTAAGTGATGATGGTATGAACCGTAGGTGCCTTAATCTATGAAATCCTTGTGTCGGAGAGTTGTTTATAGGGCTATTTTGATTAATGTAGGTGTTTGACGAGTCGAGTTCGCCTTCCTATCAAATTTTTGTGCTTATCTACCACTTCTGTAACCAGGTGGGTTTAGTTAAAATGCTATGGCATAAATTATGTTCATGTTTTGCTTGTGGTATGATCAATGTATGCATGTGCACCATGTAACCTTCGATGTGAGCTGTACCGGCCGTCGAACGGTTTTCTCCGTCGCTATAGAACGACCCCGTTGGGGTAATCTCCTCTTTATGTCCTTGCGAAGGACACGTCGCTTAAGACCAGGGCTGTGCTCGGTCGGCAATCAGTACCCCGTTGAAAGACCAGGGCCGCGCTCAGTCGTTGGCGGAGACTCCTACTGGCTGGGCATCGTTGTAAGACCAAGGCAAGGGTCTTGGCATTCGATATATACCGGCAGTGATCTATTGAGATAGGTGTGCACATGAGAACGAACTTGGGATAGGAGATTGGGATAAATAATTGATTTGTATACATGCTGCGACCATAGCACCTTATATTATGATTATTGTTTATTGCATAGTGGTGAGCACCACAGTTTCCATATGTGCTCACTCCCACCTGAAATTAACATTTCAGGTTGAGCAGGGCAGGCATGACGACGGAGAGGAGCGAGTGGTGGTCGGTCTTTATGACCTGATTAATTTTTTTGTTGCTTCTGCTATGATGAACTGATTTATGATTTTATGAATTTATGAACTCGAGAATATTACAATTTGAAATAATGTTGGGGAGATGCCCCGTGAACACTGTGATGATTTTGAAAACCCGGTTTGGGTGATGGATGATTTTGGATGAACCTTTTATGGGAGTTGGATTTTATGATTGATGAATTATGTTATGATTTGATGTTATGTCATTCTGAAATAAATGAGTAACGCTACAAACGTTTGAAATGAATTTTGAAAAAGCCATGGATTTTCGTTTAAATCAAAGTGGGGCGTTACACTTCGGGATCCTAGGTGTCAACATTTCATGCTTCATTATTTGGCTTGGATAGATTTTAAATTAATTTCAATCTAAAAATAATTAGGTTTGGATTACCATAAATATGTTGATTTATTTATGATCATTTTAGATGTATTAATTGTATTTTAATATCATTTTCTATTATGACCATTAAATTGTAAATATATTTTAAAAGTTGATAACTTTTGTATTTCTTATCGGTTTTACATATATAATATATCAAATTAATCATCTTTTGATGAGCTTCGATTTGACATCCACATATTGTATATATAAAATAAATAAATTATATTTATATTTACAATAATAATAAAGTTATTTATTAAAATTAATTAGAAAAATAAAATTATTTCTCAATTAATATATTTATGTTTAATGTAGTTATGTTATAAGTTAGAAAAATTATTATAATATAACACAGGTAAGTTGCACAAGTAACAAGTGGCATACTAAAATATATAATAATATTTTTTTTATAAAAAGTATTTAAATTTTCAACCACTTTTTCTTATTAATTTTAAATTTTAAGAAAAAAAATTTTAGAAAGCACCCGTGTAATACACGGGTGTCGTACTAGTATTAGGTTAAAAAGGAATCTCTATCTACTCATGAGATTTTTAGTTTAAGAATGTTATTTTGTTGTTGAGAGACAATTTTTGCTCGAAATAAAAATACAATATTAAAACACGGATCACAATCTGTTATGCAAGTCAAGCATTTGTTGTACTACAGTTTGAATTGTTAATGAAATGAGCCGCTCGTGAGCTCACCCCGTTAACGCTCGAGTTCGGCTCAAACGAGTTGAACTCGAGCTCAGGTAAAGCTTGTTTCGTTAACGAGAGTCGGGCTTGGCTCGATATGAGATTTTTTTTATATATAATTTTGTATAATTCAGCTCATCAATATTGATAAATGAGTTGAGCCCGAACTCAGTTTCTGGTTTGCTAAAAACTCGAGCGCTGTTCGACTTGTGTACAACCCTAATTGTAGTGTGGTTTGATTATTTATTTTTATTTTTACAAGTTTTTTTNCTCAAATCCCCCCTATATATAATTCCCGAATATGCTGAGCCTAAGTGGCAGACTCACATGCTTCAGGATCCTAGGTGTCAACATTTCATGCTTAATTATTTGGCTTGGATAGATTTTAATTTAATTCCAATCCAACAATAATTAGGTTCGGATTACATAAATATGTTGATTTATTTATGATCATTTTAGATGTATTAATTGTATTTTAAAATTATTTCCTATTATAAACATTTAATTTTAAATGTATTTTAAAAGTTGATAACTTTTGTATTTCTTATCGGTTTTACATATATAATATATCAAATTAATCATCTTTTGATGAGTTTCGGTTTGACATCCATATTGTATATATAAAATAAATAAATTATGTTTATCTTTACAATAATAATATAGTTATTTATTAAAATTAATTAGAAAAATAAAATTATTTCTCAATTAATATATTTATTTTTAATGTAGTTATGTTATAAGTTAGAAAAATTATTATAATATAACACAGGTAAGTTGCACAAGTAATAAATGGCATACTAAAATATATAATAATATTTTATTTATAAAAAGTATTTAAATTTTCAACAACTTTTTCTCAAAAATTTAAATTTTAAGAAAATTTTTTTTAGCAAGCACCCGTGTAATACACGGGTGTCGTACTTGTTACTATATGATAAGGCCAAAAATTTACCTAAAATAGTAGGTAAAATCTGACTTAAACATTAAATTTACTAAATTTAGAAATTTCTAAAATAATTTATATTTTGAAATTTCAAAGAAGAATAAGTGTAGATTTTATTTCTTTCTTCATTGGTATTAGCTAAAAATTACTTAAAGTAACTATTTTTTTATTCATCCGGATCTTAAGGGAACAAATGTTTTAAAATTGATTCAATATCTTTTTTTTAAGAAAAAAAAAATTATTTCATCTATTACTATATAATACGGTTAAGAAAAATTATTCAAATAATTCGAAAAAAAATAATTCGTTTTCCCGCCTAATAATAGTCATTTTCCCGCTTACATATTTCGCAATTTTTTTGTTTGAATTTTTTTACATGTACCGCCATTGAATTTTGTAACCAATCAAATCAATTTTGTAATTGTATGCGATTTCCATGCGGGTATAGGAGGATTTTGATAAAATTTGTTAAGATTTGGTAACTTTACATGAATTCATGTTTGTCATCTGGTAAAAGTACTTTATATTTTCCGCAAATCTTGGTCAAACATAAAAAGCAAACTTAGTATGTA